GTCTTTAGATTATTCCTATTTCTTGCTTTGATTTTTACTGATGTTTCATTTTTTACTGATATTAGGGAGCTTTGTTTGTCAGGGAAGTCCTCCACTTATTACTACTTATTTAAAGAAGTCTTGTCAGGCACGTGCATCAATTTTCCCTGCTAAAAATTCACTGTGACTTTTTGGCTTGCAAAAAGGTCATTTGCAGCCCAGACTTTTGGGTGTGTGGTGGTGCTGGGATAGTCGATTAGTGACCATTCCCTGGCATCCTGAGGCTGTGCGCTGTTATCGGGCCTTGCCGTGCCCCGTGGCACTTCTGCTGCTGCCCTTTGCTCGAAGGCAGCAGTTTTGGTGAAGGGAAATCCTAAGCAGACCTGACTTGTGTCCTTCCCCAGCATCTCAGCCCATTCATAATTGCTGAGTAGAGATGTAATGTATGCAGAGCACAAGTATGAATTTAATGCGTTGAGTAGCGATATGGGGGTGTGGTGAGAAGAATTTTAACAGCTATTTGCATCTATGGCATCACGGTTGGGCTGTACATGAAACTACTCCTGTATTCAAATTTCATTAGACAAATGCTTCATAAATAATTTGGTGTTTTAGGACTCTGGGGGAGGAGACGGAGAAGTGGCAGTTAATTTATTTAGCAAGATGGAATTTTAGCTTGGAGATTTACAGGATGATTCTTCTTATAGGCTTAAAAACCAATGTTCCTCTGCCTTTTAAAATGTTAAGCTTTTCAGTTTAATTCTCATTAAATTACACTGGATACCTTATGGAGAAGAAAGAAAAGACTTCAAATCATTCAGTGCATAAAAAAATGTAATAGCTCTTCTTATGTTCATTCAGATGTTTTTATTGAGGATACTTAAAATTTGTAAGCCATTTGGGGGAAAAAAAAAAAAGATTTAGATTGTTGCTGTGACCTGATGGAAGCCTCCTGAAAATTGTTGTAAATCAGTGCGAAAACATAGCTGAGAAACATCACTAGATGAAGATAGCTGCGTTTTTCAGACATGATGTAAAAATGTGAGACATCTTTAAATAAATAAAATACAGGTAGCAGTGTTAAATGGGTATAGTGTTCTTATTGAGGTGCCTACATCTCTTGTATTCAGGCCAAGGTATCTACTTTTGGCCACTGCTGGAGATGGGATATGTACCTAAATGGCTCTTTGGCCTAGAGAAGCATAGCCTGTAAGTATGGCCATGTCTTAGGCTCATGGTTGGCATCCTCAGTTGCTCGCTTTCCTAAAATGATTTGTGCTTTCAGTCCACAGGATTGATTTTCTGAAGTTTAGATTTTTATGTAATAAGTAACTACTGTCACAGTGGTATCAATAGGTGTAACTGAATTATGGAGTAAAACAGTGTATGTTTTATATATAAAGTGACGGTATCTCTTCTGGAGACTATAATTAATCAACAACTCAGTGAGAAGATCATCTTCACAAATACAAGGACAAGGGTCCAAGAGTTCGAATGGATGTTAGCAGTGCTGTGCTTCCTTCTAGTGCTATTGCTCATTTATAACAGTCTTCGTTAGCAGAACTCCTTCCCCCAAATCCAATCTTCCCAAATGGGAAAGATGAGGTGTTTCCAGACCCGTGATTTTATCTGGTTTGAGGTTTATATAAGTTAATGCATGGACTGCTTGTGAGGAGAAGCAGAGGTTAGAGAGGGACTCAGGAGATATAAAATAAGAAAGTGTGAGATGGAAAAAAAATGATCTTTTTTTTAGCTTTTAGTGGTAACAGTATTGCATACAGTACTTGCAATAATGATTAAAGTTGCCCCAACATAGTTTCACTATCTGATCAGTCTGGGTCCCTCAGGAAACAGATGTCTCCAACTGAAACTGCTTCAATAAAGCCCAGGAATAATACTTGTTAATAGAGGTGTTTTTCTTATTCTCTTACCCTTACTCTGGTATCCCAGCACTGGTCACACAGGGAAGCTATGTAAGTTTGTAGGACCGGACACACCTGGGTTTGAAGCTTTCCTGATGCTCAGCTTTAGTTATTACAGAGTCTCTGTTTGTGCAGTCTCTGTTTATGCGCAGCACTTACTGTCTTTAGCTTAAAAGATGTCTGAAGCATTCATATTACAGTGACTTTTCAAGATATTTGGGATTTTCTTGATTAATGTGGGAGGGCCTTCTCCTGCCTGCGGGGCTGTGCTGTGAAACCGTGCCACAGTCCAAGAAAGGCTTGGTCTACAGCAGGGTTTGGCAAGCCCCGCTTCAGAAAGTGCTTGGCTGCAGTGTTTAACAAATTTGCTAGAACCCGGGTAGTAATAACTGTTTAATATAGCTGTAGAGCTAGTGCTAGCGTGGGTCCGATTCCAGGGAGGATAATGCACCGACTGTGCTTGATGTCATGAGTAAAAGTAGACTAAGTGTGTAAAAACACACGCCGAACAACAAGAACTAAGTTCAGCTGAGCCAGTGAGGCTATAGGGAAATTCAAGGTACAGTAGCTTTAGTTACTGTAAGAAACTGAAGCAGGGGCCAGGAGCACTTAGGAGCCAAAAGATGAACTCATCCAGAGTATCAGGCTTCAGTATTATTTAAAAGCAGCGAGCATCAACAGTGAGTAGTGAGCAGCCCTGAAAGTGCTTTTGGCACGAGGCTCTTTATGACGGCTGGGCTTGGCGGGCGTCCAGTGCAGGACACAAACTCCCAGTCAGCCTGGAGGTGCTGTAAATATAAACTTTCCAATTGAAGAAGTTAAAATAACTTCACGGTTGTGTCACCTCCAGAAGCTAAGCTTGTGAGTGGTGCTTTGGTGCGCTTTTCAGAAAGATGGAGGATGTAATAGAAGAGGCAGTAGGGCTGGTAGTAAAACCAGCCTGTTGGGATATCAGGAAGGCATTGGCCACACATCAAAAACCTGGTGGATTTCAAAGAGGGAGAGAAAGCCAGAGCAAAGGGCTTTTGACTTGGGTGTTTTATCTAAAGCAATTGCCAACAATAATTAGTGGAGAATGCAATCTTAGCAAGTCCTATTCAGAGTTGCTTCCTTCAAACCACTTCTTCGTAGCTAGGTTTTAAAAAAGACATTGTACTTTCATGTTGGGAATCAAAACACAGATAAAAGAAATGAAGTCATTCTCAACTTTGTAAAACAGCCTTCATTAAGTTTCACACACTAAATTCAGGCAATCAGCAGAAAAATGTTTATAAGGCATTGCTGTAGATGAATAGGGCTAGGTCCTTGAGAGTGCCTCGCAACACAAAGCATTTAATGACCTCCTTTGTCTTTATTGAAGCAGAAAGAAGACCCAAAAGGGAGCGTTAAGCTTTTCCGTAATAAGGGTTACATCTGAATAGAGATTTGTAAAATAAATCTCTTAGTATTCTTCCAGACAATTTGTTTCGCTTACCTGTGGCAAGTCCAAAGATTACTTACATGTGAAAAGCAGGTGAGCGCTGCTCTTCAGCCTTTAATAAGCTTCAGGTACGTAAAACAAGGCAAGACAGAACCTGGTGACCAATTTGCTTCCCAGAACTGGTGTCTTCCTACCCCCTGTACTTTGGATCTGTTGCCACTTGTGAAACTTGCTGAAAAACTTCCACCTCTTTTTGTCCTCTTATAAATAAAGACCATTTTTGCCCATGAAGTAGCTGCTGATTTCCACAGCAGTTGGTTTGATTTTGAGTTGGCTGCTTAGAACGGTGGAGGGTGGGTACCACTCAGGTCCAGTCGAGGGAGCCTTAAATGATTAAACCTAAATGAAACAAGTACATGAACATACAAAATGTTTTAATTTAATTTAGGTCAGAGATTGCTGCAATATTCAGAGCTACACAGTTACACTTACCTGTGCCGTCTCTTCAGTAGAATAATGTCCTGATGCCAAAAGGATGGAATTTCTGAGTAGGTTATGTACCCAGATGTTGACTTCTAGCGTCTCTTCTCTGTTGTTATTTGAATTTATATAGCTCTCTTCTCAAAATCCTATTTCAGCTTCTGTGTTTCTCTTCACTGGTGGCTAAGTAAACCTGAAGTTCAGGCAAGTCCTAAGACTTTTACCAGTATTTTGCAATAATGTTAATTTATCCCACAGTTGCCCCAGGCATGTGGCATTCTTTCTCACTTTCTTTAAAGAGTTTTCTAGCACGGTGGAGCCAATTTTTGGACGTGCAGCTGCTGTATAAAGTTGCTATTCAGTAAAAGTAGCATTGATGGAATTCATAAAAATAGGGAAACTTTACCTTGTTCAACACTGCTCTGAAGTGTATGGCCGGTTAAATGAAGTCACAGGGGTTCTGTAGGTTGGGTATGGGATTCAGTGTTGGTGTGCTATCTGAAAGCTTAAGGGATTGTGTCAAGCCGGCACTGCTGCCTCTGTGCATGGGCCTGCAGAGCTCAGGGGTCAGACATGAGCAAGGGCATGGGTTCAGCCTCATTCAACTGGAGAAACTCAGAAACCAGTGTGAATGAGGAAAAAAGGGGGGTTGGCGTGGGGATTTAACCTTGGAAGATAGGAAGATAGTTTATTGCCTTATGCTTACCTAAGGCAAAAAGTGTAGAGCTTTTTTTTTTTTTATCCATTTTCCAACATCACGGAAAAGGAGTGCTTTGTGCTGGTGGTTTTTGTAAACTGATTAAATGCAAATATGGCAACAAGAAGTCTTTGCTGGTCAGTTGTGTTTGAAATTATTTCCCAGATAGAGTTTCACTTCTGGCATTGGTCTTGTGAATTTTAAAGCACAGCAGTAGAGGGACTTTCAGAAATGCTCTACATCACCTATAGAAATGGGTGGTGCTTGATTTATGTTTTCACACATCACAAATACAGTTACTTTGCAAGCTATGTTTTATTTTCAACCATAATTCAAGCAAACAGATCTGCAGATCAGCTCTGCTTCCATCTGCTATTCATCTGTAGATTAGTTTTATTACTGCAGATAGTTTTCATTACGCATATTGAAGTTAGTTGCATAAATTAAGATCATACGGACAATATATGTAACTAATTTTTATTTTCTCTGATTCTCTTTGCAGTTGATGAAGGTCGTGTTAAGGAACTGGGCAGAGTCCGAGTACTTCACAAGAGAACCATAATGCCTTACAGTGTGTATAAGAAGAGGAGGAAGGGGCCAAGCGATGAAGCCAGCGTCCAGCAATATGCAAGTTTGGTTGGACAGACCTGTTCGGAAAGAATGCTGTTGTTCAGGAGTTGAAAAATCATTGAATGACATTTCGATGGCACTACCATTTATTGCACTGCCACTGGGTGATTTGTAACATAGTTGTGTGTTGGTATGCCTACTAAAATTGCAGTATGAAATACAGGTATATATCTAGGCATGTGTGAGTACATGGTACTGTGTTTTAAGGCAAACTCCAATAAAATTTTTGACAATACAGCAAGGCTTTAGCAATATAAGCTTAGAAATACACGCTTGTAATACCTTTTAATTAAGTAGTTCTAGCCTTTCTTTGCATTTTGAATAATTCTAAGTATCTAAGCAAAATGAAAAACAGGTGTCTTTTTTTCTAGGGACAAAGGTTGACTAAATCTAGATTAACAATAATTAAATTACAGATGTTTTCAAATAGCAGCTTGGGTATCTATTATTTAAAATTGCCATGAAATTTGTGCTCGCGTTTGTGTGCTCCTAAACTATTGCAAGAGAACTGAAAGGTGCCGTTACTTTCCAGTGTGAAATCTGGCATGGTTTAATTATACTTCCAACAGTGTATTTAAAAACAGGAAACATTTTCACTGCACATTCTTCATTTGTTTGATAGAGTAGGTTAGCATCAGAGATCCTAGTGAATGTGGCAATTTCTAGTAGATTCTTAGTGGCAGGGGATGCAGTGCTTTGGAAAACTTTCCCCTTGAGAGACGAAACAGAATAGCTGCACTATAAATTTACCAAAGATATGCCAAGGGTTTTGTGGTGTTTTTTGGTTGGTTGTCTTTTTTGTGTTTGTTTGTTTGGGTTCCTTTGTTTTGATATAAGCCTTACCATTTATCTAAAAAGAGTGGATATTTTAATGCACATCATTAATGTGAAATGGAGTTTGGGAGATTTATCCTATAGCTCTTGAGTGCACATTTCAGAGCTATGCTAAAAATGATTGAGGTACCACTGCGCTTTTTTTTGTTGCAATTTTTTCTGCAGATTTGTGTGGGGAGACTTGCATATCATATTTCTAGGTCCTAGTGCCTGTTTTGTTTATGCTGCAGTGGCTCTCAGGTTAACATCTTTAATAACATTTTACTAAATATTCCTATTGGAAACAGAGAAAGTTGCAATGCTTTATCAAAGCACTTTATTACCAATGTATTCATGTTGTCATTAGTCTGTGTCTATATCAGATCATACAAGTTATAGGAATTTGGGGAAATAACATAGTTGTATGTTCAGTAACGTATTACAACATCACAGCAATCCCACTGTGCTTATAATTTACTTATCTTCTCGGGTAACAGGAGCCAGTATTTACCTTGAATCAACTTGAAGTTTTCCTGTTAACCTCTGAAGAAGATTCTTATTCAAGAATGTATCTGCACATTTTACTTTTTCCCCAGAAAGAAATCAAATTCAACTTCAGCCTCTGAAGGTTACAACGTGTACAGCCATGTGCTTGATTTCATTTTGAACACTTGGCCAGTATCATTAGTCATTGATTTTTTTGTGGAATTGCTGCAAGAATTTTGAGATTCAAGTGTGTTGCAGATTTAACTTTAACTTTATTTTTTTTTCCGTGTCAGTTTGATCTCTGTAAATTACTGGTATTGAGTGCAGGTTCACCAGTAATTTTAGGCAGTAATGTCTTTTATTAATTGGTATGTACTGTATTGAGCTACTCCCACTCTGCAACAAAATTGGTTATTTGTGTCAGCATCGTATCTGGCAAGTGCGTGCCTGTTATCTGGAACTGCAAGGTTTCTGTATGCTGCACTGTCTGGTTTGTCCGTGTCCTACCTAACCCTCCTGCCACGGGAGAACCACTAGCCACTGTTTATGACCATTATTAGAAGTTGTTCCTTTCTGTGGAGAAAATACCTCTCACCTGGCGTGTCGGAACAGCGTAACAGTTTCTGTCTCTACAATGCGTTGAAATGTGCTGATGCCCACACAACTTAAAAACAAAATGAAGGAGAAAACCTTTTTATGTGATACAAAATCAGGTAAAAGGCACAGAATTTTTCCAGTATGACTTTGAATATCCTGAAGAAAATCAAATGGCCTTGATGTGCTCCTGTTGAGCCTACAAGGTAAAGTTCCTGTTGAATTACGAGGGAGCAGACTTGTGTTAACTCCCAGGGTTCAGAAGAGCTCTGTCCTTCGGGCCCAGTATTTTTTACTGATTTGCCTTCTATATGCATAATAGACTTTTTTTCTCATAATCTTTTTCTCTTGTGGAGCTTTTAAGAACTACAACTAAAAAGTGAGATAGGTGTAAAACCAGAAGTGGAGAACAGCTTGAAGCTGTTGTTGGTGTGACCACAACAGGTAAATGACCATTTCCTGTGAATTCTGAACCGGTGCTTTCACTTCCCGACCTCCACTGGAACTGCGCTGCTGCAACAGGGTGGGCTTTTGATCCTTACTGAGCTCAAATTTAAAAAACAAGAGTCAAAATTGAGATGAATTAAAAAATTGAGCTCATCTGATCCAGCGTACTGAGATCTAATTTGCTCCTTTGGTGTTATCTTAGAAGGAAATCATTGCAGTGTTTTTCAGGACTGATTATTCCACCCCTATTTCAGAAGAGGCATAGAGCCCTCAGGATGAAGTTCTCTGTTTTGTCATCGACTTCAGTGGAGCTAAAAATCCACCACTATTTTAATTTTATTTAATAAGATGTCACTGAGAAATATTGAAGTTAGAGATATTTAATTTAGTATAAAATATTTTATAATTTTTCTTGAGTGTAATTAGTTTGCGAGAGTTAATCTCCAAAGTAAATTTGCCTTGTTCTATTATCTGTTGCTAAATGAGCATAGAATGGTGGCAAGAAAATGCAGAGCTGTGACCGATGCTAAAACATACCATGTTTTGTTTTAATTGGAAATAAACGGGGAGCTTATGCATTTCCAGCATCAACAAATTTTAGTAAATGCAAAAGAACTCGCATGTTGAGTTTGTAATTGCTTTTCAGCAGGCCTGTTTGACTTGTGAGTATAGAAAATAAAGTTATTTCTAGTCTCTGTGAATTATTATAAAGAATTAATAGCTTTGAGTGTGAATTCTGTCTTGCTTCTTAGGAATTGATTATCCCGGTTGTTGACAAGCGTCCAGTGAACAGCAAAACTGGAGGAGTCAGAGCAGCAGTGACTGGAAGGTATATGGATCACTTGAAAACATGTAACAGTATTTTAGATCTTTATTTTAGTTCTAGCTAGAGAGTGTAGTTAAGATTTTACTTGTCTGCATTGAAACAGCAGCTCTCAGTTTTCTCTGAGTGGAATAAAATGAAGCGTTAGGCTTTTCACAAATGCGGGGTAGGTAGGACTACTTATTTTAATGAGCCTGTACCTGTACCATTTCCAGTGGGCTGAAAGAAACAAAACAAAAACCTCCCCTGAACTATGCAGCCAAACAAGCAATGCAGAAGTCTGGATTACGTGCTGCTCTCCCCAAAGGTAACCAAATGCTGATTTGTTTTCCTTCTGGCTGGGGAGGAATTCCAGCTAATTCTGGATTCCCAAATTAGACTTTCATCAAAGCTCAGTGCCACCATGGCTTACATTTTGGTCAATGATCCGGTGCGTGATGTGTTATAAGGGTTTGACCCCCAAATTGTGTTCCTGGGAACGATTACTTCTCATTGTTCATTCAGGGTGCCTACACCCACGACTCTTTGAAGCTGTGTCAATGTTTTGCCAGTTCTGAAGATGCAGCCTGATGACGCACTCCTCTGGCTGTGTATTTCTGAATTTCTCCTCTTTCTGCCCATCCCAGATAATCCTTCAGACGCGTATTATGGGCTCTCCCCATCGGTCTTTCCCTCTCCACTCCCTCCAAGGCCTTCCCAAGCTGTAATGTTTCTTCTAACTCATTTGGTCCCAGTCCTGTTGCAGGAAGAGAAAAGCCTGCACTCGGAAGGGTGCAGGCAGGACTTAGGACAGAAATCTTCACCACATTTCAGGGAAATGATCGGTTTCCAGAAGCATCACAGCCACGTATCCTACCCACTGTCTTTATAAAGCTGGACCTTCAGAGCCTCTTGCTTATGATGTCACTTACCGAGCGTACAAAAAGCCAGATTTCGTTTCCACTTGCCAAATAATTTGTTTTCTTAAGTGAGTTGAAGCAGTGGAGGCTTTCCAAGCCCTGACTGGCTGTCCTCAGGAGGTGGTTAGCTCTGTTCCTCTGCCAGCCGGGGACTCGCCTGCGGAAGGTGCTGCAGAGAAAGCCCTGAGGAGCGGCTGGTGCTGAGCCCCGGTGGCACCGAAAAGGTGGCTGCTGGTCAGAGGAGAGCTAGCAGGTAAATAACCGTGTGATTGGCCTTCAGGCATGAGACGGATTTTAGTCTCACTGGAGAAATGAAATGCACTGCAAGAAACAAATGGTATAAATAACCCCACATCATCTCAGCAGGAGCTGCTAACCAAAGGAGGAGACCAGGCAGGGCGACTGCCAGTTCCCCCTTCTGCAGGGGCTTCTGAGAACCACGGTGACTCAGTGCCCGGCTATACACACGCTTATTAAACACGAGGCTTAATGAACAGAGCTGCTGAAGTATGAATGAAATGTGAGCTATGTTGTGTATGCCAAAATACGTTGTTTACAGGATGCAGATGTGCAGCCCTAACGCTCGCTGCTACTAAGCTAAACCAGGTGGTAGCTGTGGTCAGCGGGTTGCTAAATAAAAAAAACTATGAATTAATCTGTTACATGCATTTTATAGCACGCTTTTAAAGCTCATCTCGGTAGAGATTTGTTTGCTAACAGTATTAAAATAAACAGGAAGGTAAATGTAAGAAATTAACTTAAAAGCTAAGTATAGCATATGTTAATTCTATCAGTATTAATAGGAAACAACTCTGGAAACTAGCAGTTAGTGACCTTCCCAGGTAAATCAAGTGACATTGAGCTAATAGCTCCAAAGCTTTCTGGCTGTGTTCGTGGTTGTGTTACACTGTTTTGATGTTTATGCATTTGCTTATAATAACTATTCCCATCAGATTTTTGTGCTTCTCATCACTTATTGCCACTTGGTTTCTGACTCGTAATACCCGTGTCTGCCAGCAGTCCTGCTGAGCGGTGGCTCTCAGGACAAAGGCAGGCGTTAGGAAGTCCATAAAGTCGTGAGAAGAGAGCAGAGCCCACAGGGACAGTCAGCTTGCAACCTCTGTGCTGCTGAAAAAGCAGGATTTATTTATTATTTAGTCTGTTGCAGACTTTAAAATGTGTGTCAGGTTTCTTTCATTTCCCTTTCTCTGTGACATTTGCCTGTCATTGTCCAGGGAGAATCAACAGAGCGGTGCAGAATGGTAAGAACAAACACAGTAAGGTCAGTGTACCGCATTTAAAGCAAAAAAGCTCTAGTTAAGGACTGAAATTGCACAAATTCTGTTGAAATTCCCCCTCTGTGTCTACATAGGAGCAGGAAAGTGGATGTTTAAAAGTCCTGTTGCTCCTCCCTTCTGCTCAGCTCCAGGCCAGGGCAGGGGAGGAGGACGGTTTGCAGTTCCCTAAGTTCCTTGGAGGGGGTTCTTGCTGGGACTAGTAGCCTCGTCACTGAAAGCTTTTAATGCCTGGTGTGAACTTTTCGTAATTCTGTTTGCACGTAAACTTGTTCATTTTGTCTTGCTGACTGCAAAGAAAATCACTTCAGTTCCTCCACAACAGCTCTAGAGATTTTAGAAGACTGCCACCAACTCAACCTTTGCTTTTTCTCTGAACTATCCCCTGCCAGTTACCTCTGTCTGCCCAACAGGCATGTTTTCTAGATATTTTATGGAGCCTTCTTAAGTATTTCCCTCTCCTCCACAATTTTTTTTGTTAGTTTGGTGCCCTACTGCCAGCTCCTCCAGCAATCACTGAGTAACTACTCCAGTGCTTTACACCAGTCAGTAAATGTTGCTTTTTCAAAATACCAATAGTCACCATGCTGATTTTTCTGTCCAGCACAAATCCATATTTCCTGTTAATCTGCCACACTTCAGTTAAATGTGGCAAAGACCCCAACCGAACAGTAGCAGCAAACATCATTTTTCTCTCCTTAAAGGATCCCAGCCTGCAGCCACCAGAGGGCATGTTCCAGCTTGCGAAGTTCATCACACACCGATGGTATTTCTTGTCTGAGTATCTGAATTTTCAGTGTCTCTTATTAGTAACATCTCATTCTGAGCTTAATTTTCTACTCTGCTCTAATTGTGACACATTGGAGAAAAAGATTCAGGTGGGTTTGAGAAATTTGAATGAAGTACAGACTTTCTGAAATAGCTTTTAATCATTATTTTAAAACTAAATATTATAGATTTTGTAACATAGGCTTTATTAGACAAGCTGTACTGTGAATATATTACTGGAACTAAGATCCATGGAACACGTAAGGTGGGCCCAGCTGGCAGTTACATCTCTTGAAATGTTTTTGGATACTATTCTAGACCAAGCACCTTGCTATTCCTTTCCATGTTGGAGTTTCATTGATCAACTTCCATCAAGCTGTGTGCAGTGGGAGCATTAATAACGTCTCATATACGGTTTGTTGCATGCATTTTGACAGCAGCTCTGTGTTTCTCAGTGGGATTGCATCAACTAAATCAGTGCATCTCAGGAAGAAAGTGCTAGCTCCAAAAATGAACAGTGTACTTGCATTTTCTGGTGCAAGACAGACATGTCTTGCACTCAGCCACAACTTGCTTACCAGTTGCATTTTCAGCTATTAATATCTTGTCTGTGTCCTTGCTAATGCCCTCTTCTCAGAAGCCAACTGATTTTTCAAGTCAAACACAATTTTATTTAAGGGAAAAAAAAAAAATACTGCTTAGTTCACACTGACTCCAAAATCCACACACTCAAAAATCTCATAATTGTCCATAGAGGTTTTGGCAAGTTTTCTGAGGCACTGATTGTGAAAGCAAGAACAAATTTTCATTATTTTTCATCCTTCTCCTTATGCCTCCTTTGTTTTTAGGCTAAGTTGCTTTCATGTCAGAATTTCTTTCTCACCTATACAGGGAATAAAATCTTGTCAAAATAAGGTTTCTATTAACACAGCGAACCCAGAGGTCAAGAGACTGCGACGCTGTTCTTTACTGCCAAGGGCATTGTAACCCATTTGTTTTGTGAATATGATACTGGTCTCTGTTGCTCAAGTTTAAAGCAAAGACACATCAGTTGAAAAAACAGAGTTCCAAATTTGAAGTTATTTCTTATTCTTCATACAAATAAATTATTCTGATGCCCAGAAACTTGGAGGACTGAGCTTGCATGTGTCCCAAGTTGTGCTTAACCTCATCCCTGAGATTTTGGCAATGAACAAAAGCCCAGATGCAAATACTCCTTCCTCAACGGGCAACGAAGGGTAGAGTTAGACTCGAGGACAGTGTTATGAAATTTTCTAAGTTTTAGAAACCAGAGCTGGTTATTTACTCTCTCACAGTGTTTGGCAACCTATATAAAAGAGAACATAGCCGAAGCTCAGGCACCTCAGCAAAATTAGCAGTGCCAACTCACTGGCAACCCCAGCAGTGAGCTCAGAGATCCCAAACCAGGCAACCTTCTGCAAATTCAGGAGTTGAGCTGCTGCTGACCAACCTGAAACCCACCGACGTGCATAACCCACGGGTGCAGTTTCTGTAGAGGGGCTTTTCTCCATCGATGTGCAGCAAGCTGAAGGAGGACCTGGGATTCAGGGAAATGTTGTGCCCCCCTCACTGTGCCTCTTCCCAGGGGACCATTAGGCACGCCATAGCCTGTGGGAGGTAAAGGACTTCTCCCTTGCTGGCCTTTCCAATCAGCACTTTTGGTTACTGTATATTTTTATACCTTTCTTGCTTTTTTAGCATCTTGGGGAGCTTGTATACTCTCTGGTAACTTCTATAGCCTGTTCCCTTTGTCTCCTAGAAGTGCTTTTACGCAGAGGCATTATTATTCTCATGGGAAATGGGGACAGTCCATGGCACTGTGTGACAGCAGGATTGCTGTCGCTTCTGGTTTTTCATTTGGAGGCTGTCAGGACATTTCAGCCAGGAATGAATTAGCAGAGTCTTACC